GTAAATGGCCGGCCGTACAGATAAGGTTGAAGTTTCTTGAGCGCCCACACTAGGGCTAGGCACTCTTTCTCCACGGTGGCATAGCTGACCTCTCTGGGCAGAAGTTTACGGCTGAGGTAGGCAACCGGGTGTTCCATTCCGTCGTCTCCCACCTGGCTTAACACGGCTCCCAGCCCAAACATGGAGGCATCTGTGTGGACAAGAAATTGTTTAGAGTGGTCGGGTGCTGCCAACACAGAAGCCTCACTCAATGCCGCTTTCAGTTTCTGGAACGCTTCCGCGCACTCTGGGGTCCAGGTTACCTGTTTTGAGAGGGCCTTTTTGGTGAGGTCAGTGAGGGGTTTGGCCAGGGCGCTATACTTGGGGACAAATTTCCGGTAATAGCCGGCGGTTCCTAAAAAGGCTAAGACCTGGGTTGGGGCCAATTCGCTATGGCCTCTACTTTGGCAGGCTCGGGCCGCTGTTTACCTGAACCTACCCTGTGGCCGAGGTACTGTACTGACATGACATTTGTCAGGCTTTAATGTGAGCCCTGCTTGGTGAATTCGCTCGAGCACCCTGGACACGTGTCCCAGGTGATCCCCCCATGTGCGGCTGTAGACAGCAATATCGTCTAAATACGCACGTGCGAAGTCCTGGAGCCCCTCCAGGAGTCTGTCAGCCACCTGCTGAAAGGTAGCCGGAGCATTCTTCATCCCAAAGGGCATAACCTTAAATTGGTAAAGCCCGAAAGGAGTGACGAATGCCGACTTGGGTATGACTGCAGTCTCCAGGGGAATCTGCCATGTCAGGGTATTTATATCGGCAGACATCTTGTGCTATGATAGAAATTAAAAGTGTATATTCTGAGTCACTCTGAACAGACCAGACTCCATTTTGTTATTTCCAAGTTAACAAAAAGACACAAGATTTCTATCTGTAAAACTAACCACTTTCCCAGAGCTAAGGAATGCATAGTATATACAAACCAAGTGCTAATGGAATATAATCAATTCTAAACCCAGACATTTGTGACAGAGAAGATTAAATAATTTAATAAACTGTCTATATGTATAAGGTCCCATTGTAAGTTATGGGTCAAAACTCAGATTTGCCAGACACATAGTCTGGACAAAACTTAAAGAAACCCTTTGAAATTTTAAGTTATGGCACTATAAAGATAACGCAAAATGACGTCAAAATAGCCACCAAGAAAAGTTAACTCTTTCCTGGATAGGTATGTTTAGTGGGACAAGACTGCCCTCTATAGACCAAATAACTAAATTGCGATCTGGAAGATAACCACACCTCTAGTGCTTCTATTGGGTTATCAACTGATGACGTACAGAGAGTCTGGCCCTTTAAAAGTTAGGACAAAGGGAAGATTGGAAAGGCAAAGAAAGAAAAAGAGGAGAGAGGAATTGGAAGTTTGGGGACTCCAACCTCCATGCAGAGAAACCCAGGACAACATCTGAGACACTCTACTCTTAAAACTCTAACACTTAGAATTTTACTGACTTTCTAACCAACACCACCTTTCACCATAACTCATGCACCTACAGACATCCAAATAAGTTCCTGAGACTATCTACCAATCGGATGAAATATCTACTCAACTGGTAATTATACTGGTTTCATTTAATTAATTAAATTAATTAAAATGTATTAATAGCATGATATATATGACTGGATAAAGCACGGTCAGATTTCCATATTAAGAAATCTTAGTTAACTAAAGAATATATAGTTATAAACATTCCATTCTGCAGGTGGAATTAAGAATAATTATATATTAATGTGATATTATCACGTGTTAGCATACCGCTGTTTTTATCCAGGTGTATTGATTTGCTCTAAATTAAGATAAGATATCTTTTAGACAAATTAAAAACAAAGTCTGCTTATATATTCATGGTAGATTCTCTTATTGGATGGTTCCAGGAAATGACTAATGAACTGGTTTAAATGTTATTTTATTTAAAATTACATAAGAATAGATCTTAATTACTTAGGAGATCTAGCCAGCATTGAAAGGGTTATTCTAACTGTTAGCCAGGGTTTTATGGCCCTTTGCTGTGAAAAGCTTCGCTCTATGTCTGTGAAAGATAGTCATAAATAAAGTCTTGACAGAAAATGCTGTTTAGCCATTGAAATGTGTTTAGCCATTACTTTGTATTGCATATCATTTTATACTGGATATTCATTGATTATTGTCACGCATGTTACATATTATTATTATTATTATTAATTAATTTTATAACAAAAATTGTGATATTATTTATATGGTATACATTTCACTTAACACGATAACGATATTTGGGATCTGAGAATTGAATTAGTGGGCAATTCTCAACTGTTTACTATTATTATCCCATAAATATCCCCACAGCCAGTACCCCTTGCACAAGTCCAGGGTGGTCAAGTAATTCCCTCCAGCCATACGGTCTAGTAACTCATCTATTCTGTGCATCCGGTAGGCATCCGTTAAGGTGCGATCGTTGAGCCTCCGATAGTCTACACAGAAGCGTGTGGTGCCGTCGCACTTCGGTACTAGTACTACCGGGGATGCCCAAGGACTTTGAGAGGGTTCTATTACCCCTAACTTGAGCATGTCTCTGATTTCTGCAAGCATACTTTCACGAACTGCCTCAGGAATACGATAGGGCTGCTGCCGTAGCGGCATTTCTCCCTGGGTTTCTACCTGGTGTACCGCAGCGGAGGTATAGCCTGGGATGGCGGAAAACATGTCCCGGTATTCCTGGAGCAGTTGCGACGCTTCCCCTCGCTCTAGCGGTTTAAGGTTCTGACCTAGGCTTACTTGGTCAATACTTCAAGGCGAGGGGTCTAAAAGATCAGGGAGGGGAAGTCCCTCACTATCTTCTGAGGAAGGGGCACATACTGCGCCCACATCTTCCGTTCTTTCGTAATACGGTTTGAGCATGTTTACATGAAAGGCTTTGGTCAGCCTTTCATCTGAACACTTACTCACAATATAGGTGGTATCACTTATCCGTTCTACCACCTTAAAGGGACCCTGCCATGCCGCCTGCAGCTTATCTTTCTTGGCGGGTCTCAAGGCTAGCACTTTCTGGCCTATGTCTAGGACCCTATCTTGGGCACCCCTGTCATACCACTTTTTCTGGTAATTCTTAGCCGCCTGCAGATTCTCCCGAACCGATTCGGTGAAGGTTCGCAGTCGGTTTCGGAACTTCAGGACGTACTGCACTATAGGAACTCCCCCATCATCTGTGTTACCCTTCCAGTGCTCCCGTACCAGATCCAGGGGGCCCCGAACTTTTCTCCCGAACAGGAGTTCGAAGGGGGAAAACCCCGTGGAGGCCTGGGTCACTTCCCGGTAGGCAAACAAAAGATGGGGAAGATACTTTTCCCAATTCCTGCAGGACTCTGTGAACGTTTTCAGCATTTGTTTAAGCGTGCCATTAAAACGTTCACAAAGCCCATTGGTCTGAGGGTGATAGGGCGCGTTAAATAGGGCTTTCACTCCACAGCTCTGCCATAGCTGCTGCATCAGGAGAGCTGTGAACTGAGTCCCCCGATCACATAGGATCTCCTGGGGAAAACCTACCCGGGAAAATATTTTGACCAGGGCCTCGGCCACGGTTTCTGCCTCTATATTGGGAAGGGCTACGGCTTCTGGGTACCTAGTGGCATAATCCACTACGGTGAGGATAAACTTTTTACCGGACTGACTGGGTCGGCTGAGGGGTCCAATTAAGTCTACTGCTACTCGGTGGAAAGTCTCCTCTATAATGGGCAACGGGTGAAGTTTAGCTTTCTGATGGTCACCCCGTTTCCCTATCTTTTGGCAAATGTCACACGTCCTACAATAGTATTTAAGGTCTTGGGTGACTCGGGGCCAGAAGAAGGTTTGGGTCAACCGGTCTCGGGTTTTCTTAACCCCCAAATGTCCTGCTAAGGGAATATCATGGCTGAGTCGTAATAACTCGGCCCAAAACCTACAGGGTACTACCAGCTGCCTTTTAGTAACCTGCGTGGTCCCGTGTCCCACCCCTTCTGTCACCCTATAGAGCAGTCCTTTGTGCCACTCAAACCTTTCGTGAGGGTTGTCTCCCTTATTACCCTCTACGGCCGTCCTATACCCGTCTAGCGTGGGGTCTGTCCTCTGTTCCTGCTCAAACCCCTGGGGTGTGTCCCAGAAAGTGGAAGGGGGGTCAGGCAGCGGGGGTATTTCAACTCCTACCTGGGTTTCCTCAGAGTGAGTCCAGTCTGGCTTGAGCTCGGGTGGTAACCGGGTAGGCTTCGGCCGAAGTGTCTCGTGCTAATTGGGAGGTTAAGCAGCCGACATCATTTCCCAACAGTACTTCGGCTGGCAGCTCCTGCATAATGACAAAATACAAAAATGTACAGGTACACCAATTCGTGGATAGAACACACACTTAGTGGGTAACAGATAGAAAAAATCCTAAATACAATTACCCTTGTACTATAAGTACTGTAGATAAGGACTCCTCAAGGTCCTCAAAATAGTGCAAAAAAACGAAAAAAATCTGCAATACAATAATAACAGAGAAAAACATAGTATAGTACTGTCATAAAAGTTTAAAAAATTGAAAATTAGTAGTAATTGCACTCACAAACCAAAATTGATTGTAGGCATATCATCAAATTCATTGAAAAACTCAAATTTCACAGGACATCATAGCCAGTATGCAGAGGAAAGAAAAATAATAATAATAGTGCAGAGTATCACAGTAAAAATTGATATTTTAATATATGAATGCACTTACAAAATTGAAGTGAAAGACAGACACATCATACATTGGCAGTTCGATCACAGGATCCCAATGAAATGGAACACCAGAAGAAACAGCAATAATGATGAATAAAACTAAATAAAATAGGGGGGGCGTGGCCTAACCACTGAAGCGGACGGCCGCAGGATTGCTGAGCTCCAGGCCTGAAACCGACAAAACCCACTAAAAACACCCACAATCGGGTCAAATCCAACCCAGACGGACCCAAACGTTTAGGCAAACACGATGGGGCGAAAGACAAAGAAGTTAAAGCCTGAAAAACTCCACCCGGGCACACATATTGGAGAGCTGTGGGGGAAGGCCCAAGAAGCCTCTATCCCTACCATGGCGTCCCTCCATGGCGGATGCTCAGACTTCTACAGTGAATCTTCGGATGACGCAGAAGGGGAGCCCCTACAAGCCAACCCCAAACTACCACTGAATCAAACACAGCCCCCACCACCCGCCGCAACCCCTACCCCGGTGAGCATGGAGGCCATCAGAGAATTAATGGCAGACCACCATAAGAAAATATCAGCGGATGTGGCCTCAATTCGGGACACGCTGCAGGGCCTCAATGGACGACTTGGAGCTGTGGAACACACCACGCAAGTCCAAGACACACATATCAAGGAGCTACAGCAAGAGATACTGGCGCTGAGGAACCTGTCTAAACAAAATGACTTACGATTTGCTGAGCTGGAAGATAAACGTCGGCTGAAGCATCTCAAGATCAGAGGAATAACAGATACTGTGACGGACTCTGAACTGCCCCATTTCGTGCGGCGGCTCCTCACGGTAATGCTAAAGCCAAAGCAGTGATACTGGACGAAATATTCCGTATCCCAAAACCCGCTAAAGCTCCAGACGCAGCCACCCGTGATGTGATCCTGCAGTTTCAAGCCCAACGAGACAGATCCGCAGTCCTGGCCGTGGCCAGGCTCCAACAGACCTACCCCTTCGAAGGTATGAACCTAATGTTTTATGCGGACCTCTCGGGAGCCACTTTAGCCTGGAGGAGATCCCTGCAACAATTGACATCACTTCTGCGTGAGAAACATGTCATATACCGCTGGGGCCCAGCCCACACCCTGACGGTAACAAAAGGCGAAGATACGCATAAAATTCACTGCATACAAGAGGCACCGATGATCCTGGGGCTGCTCGGCCTCCCCCAGAACGCATTGACCCAGCCAACACCTAAGGACAGACCTCGGAACCCCCCAAGTTGGGAAACGGCTAGCGCTGCTGAATTTGTCCCCAGACGACAGAAAGAATCACCCACCGTCACTGCCACAACCTGAAAGTCAATTCTGGACTGTGTGAGTTACCGGGACATTGCCCCACCATCAGGCATATTATGTACAGGGACGGCCATGCACAACCCCAACCCACACTGCTGAACAACCCAATCGTTTCCACCCCACCATTATGTTTAGCACTATGACTTAAACTGTTTTCCCTTTCCTTGTCATTTTCTCTCGAACACCATAGTGTGCTTGTAGTTCACACCAACCAGTTAAATCTGACGCCAGGCATGTTCACTCACCTCTTAGTACACTCGATATTACCTTGCCAAATTATAACAATATACATTGTTTATTCCTGATACGACACTGTTTGTGCCCATAGACCTGTGGTCGCGAATGAGGCACTATGGAATTATATGTACTATGCATAGCATAACAAAAACTAAGTCTTAAAGGAGGGAAAAGGTAAGACATAAAAGTAGGAGAGGAGGAGGGGAAAGGGGGAAAAATCTAGGTGTTAAGGTGTATTAGACTGTTCACACCCGAGTTTTGTTGTCTTCCTAGTTTATTTTATTTTATTACTCTATTTCATCACCTAGTACTTCGACTATCAAACGTAGTCTCTGGTACAAACTCGCTTATTAGACACTATTTATGTTAAGCTTGATCTCCCCGCTGACATAACCATAAGAAATGAACGCTGAGTATCCACCTCAGCATCCTTACGGGTGATTATTCTGTGTATAACTTAACCAGAGACCGCTTAGGTCAAGAAATGCCAGATTGTTTATTTCCCCTTATTTTTATTTTTATTTTTTTTCTTTATTTTTATTTCTCTTCTCCTAATGCTAACGAGGACATGGTATGTCCCTTTCTGTTTGGTGGTATATTACTTTCCTTTTATATTTTCCTTTAACACTTAACTTAATTTACATTTAATTGCACTTAACTTAGCCAAACTTTATTATTTTCCATCAAGTCAGTAAGTCAACCAGTATTAACGCCTGTACTTATAGCCAGGGGCGTACCTAGAGCATTTGGCACCCGGGGCGGATCCTGTGCTTGGCACCCCCAATAAAGGTTCTCTTTTTTTTCAATTTGTAAACTTTGCAGCCCCTCCTACAAAACCTCTGTCCTGTCCCTTCTACAAATCCTGGCACCCCCCACCCGACTGGCACCCGGGGCGGACCGCCCCCCGCCCCCCCCGCCCCCCCCTTAGTACGCCACTGCTTATAGCCTTAACTGACACGCAAGACCAAAACTCATAAATATAACTTTGTCTACAAACTACAACTTAACTTTAACTAATATGCCGATATCTCCACGTTACTAATGTATCAACGCTGTGTTTATACTTCCTGACTTTACCATTGTGACAAAGACAAACGTTCAGCACATCTCAAGCGTCGCTCACTCATTGCTTATATTTTCTTTTATAAAACTAAAAATGTGCGGTATAGTCATATGCCACGTTATGTTTCAACTGTATATTACTGCTTGTGACTGCTGTTGTGGCTGAACAAGCCTATTGTTAATCCATGCACATCAAAAATAAAGAATTAAAAAAAAAAACTAAATAAAATAAGTAAAATTACAAATAACTAAATTAAAATAATAATAGTACAGCTCTGCACTAATAGAAAACGCCCTACGCGTTTCGTTCAACTACTTGAACTTCCTCAGGGGCAATAAAAGTTCTCCTTATAGCCAGCAGTGATGTCCTTACGTTATGGATCTTCTTTTAAATCTTCCAGACTTTGGCGCGCTGGATGGCCGAGCCTATAGGCAGCGGACTCCCGGGTTCGTCATAATGAAAACTTCTGGATACATTCAGCCTTTCCGGAAGTGCGGTTCAAGCCTCGTTTTCATAATGAGGCCGGAAATAGTGACGCACCGATGTGCGTTCCACTCAACAGTTTGCGTTCCACCATAGATACCAGAGAAATCACGGAAAGAACAACTTATCAAAATTCGTTATGTTTACATAAAAAATTAATTATGTTTACATAAAAAATTTAAACAATATATTAACTTCATTTCAACCATCACCCAAAACCATTGCTAATCCTAAAGGTCAATAGAATATTATAATACAATAGTGATATATAATCAAAAATAATCGAAAATAATAATGATATAATTAATAAAATGGAATCAAATGAAATAAAATGAAATAAAGTGAAAATAAAAATAAAAATGAATAAAAATGAAAATAAAAATGAAAATAAAATAAAAATAAATAAATAAAATAAAAATAAATAAAATAAATGTGAATTAAAATAAAATTAAATTAAAGTAAAATAAAATAAAAATAAAATAGAATAAAAAATATTAAAAGAAAAACATTTAAGACGACATTTTGGTCGTCTGGCGTGGTCCCTTGAATAAATTGGAAGACTTCTTTAAGTACATCAATCTTAATTCTCTATCCTTGGTGTTTACCCCCCAGGTGGGCATCTCTAGTATTGATTTTCTCGACTTATCCATTTTCATTGAAAATGGGGACATTAAGACCAAAACTTTTTTCAAGACTACCGACACAAACAGTTTTATTGATACTGCAAGTGGACACCATTCAAACTGGCTTAGGGGTGTCCACAAAAGCCAGTTTATTAGAATGCGCAGAAACTGGATCTGTTTATTAGAATGCGCAGAAACTGGAGATTTGGATCTGTTTTATTCACAAGCCAACATCTTGAAGAGTCGTTTTCTGGAAAAAGGCTATCGTCCGGAACTTTTAGAAGCCGAGATAGCAAAAGTGGGGAATATCAATAGAGATGACCTTTTGGTCGATAAAAATAAAACAGATGTTAGAAACCCTATGTTCGACTTCTCTTTCAATACCCAATATAGTTCTAGAGCCTTCGATGTACATAATATTATTAAGAAACACTGGGGGTTGCTCATTGAGGACGACTATTTGAACACCCAGATTCCCCAGGTTCCTAAAATTATTTTCAGGAAGGGAGTGAATTTTAAACAAATTCTTGCACTTAGTACCTTTCGATCAGGGAATAAAACAGCTAAAACCAAAGAGGGTTTTCATACCTGTGGGAACTGTGTTAGTTGTTATCATCAATTTAAGACTGTTACTAATTTTGGTAGCACCCAAACCAAAAAGACATTTAAAATAAAAAGTTTAGTTTCCTGTTCCTCCACCCATGTTGTATACCTTTTGACATGTGGTTGTGGGTTGCAATATGTGGGGAGGACGGGAAGAAAAGCTAAGGTTAGATTTCAGGAACATCGAAATAATATCAGAAAGCATATGTTAACTCATTCAGTGCCAGTGCACTGTAATAAATGCCCTTCTTTTAATTTTAATACTCTTCAATGTATTGTTATCGAACAGGTAGCTCTAGATGAGAGAGGTAGTGACTTAGGGTTGTTGTTAAGAAAGAGAGAGGGATATTGGATTCATACTTTTGTTTTAGTTTGTTTTCTTTAATGTTTTTCTTTTAATATTTTTTATTCTATTTTATTTTTATTTATTTATTTATTTTTTAAATTCTTTATTTTTGTAAGTGCAAAAGTAGGTACATTTGTCAAGGTGGCCACATAAGATTACAGTATTAGGCAGATAAAGACAATTCTGGTTACATATTTGTTATGCGTTGCACTTTGTTTTTGTTTGAGTGAGAAATTAACGATTCAACCAAAAAGATTTAACAAAGAAAAGTTACCAATAAGAGAACAAAAAAAAAAAGAAATAGCAGAGTGACGCCAGGACAGGCGTAGCTTAATAGGCAGAAACATGTCATAGCTTTGCGCAACATCATATTATGGTGTGCGTGGATATAAAGGTTGTGTGGGCTCGTTATGACCCAACGGTGTTGACCAGCTTGATACCTTAAGCTTATTAACAATTAGTCAGCATGTTAATGGTGTAGTTCATGTTTATATAGTAACATTATAGGTTGTGAGTGTATGGGCGATGTAAATAGGGAATGTGCTTGTGTTATACTGGTTGGAAATAAATATATCTAAATGAGTGGGGGTGAGTGAAGCCTCCCTCGAAGCTCCTGCCAGGCATATCAAGAGGGCACTGTTCGTGCGTGATCGGGCTAAGAGCCTTATAAGACAGGCTGAGGTTTTATGAAGTGACATTATTGTGGGTGCCACTGTTTGACCACGTTCGAAAGTTTTCATGGGATGACATGGTAGCGATGTGTTATGTAATGTTGTCTGGAAGGTTATGCCTTGCTTAAGGTGATGGGTCAGATAGTTAAGCATAATTTTTAAGCGGCTTCCGCCTAATCTGGTCGTTTAGGTACATGTAGTAAGTATGGGTATCTATATAGGTGTGGTATACCTTTAGTATGAGTCAGCATCAATAAACAACAACACAAGAAACACACAAAAAAAAAAAAGGGGGGAGAAATAAAAATGCGAGCAAACAGTCTCGATTACTTTCACTGTGGATGGGTGTTCTCGTCTGTTGGGCAGTGGACCAGGTTGTTGCCCTGTGAAAGAAAAGAGAGGGAAAGTGTCCCTATAATGTCTGTTCTGCTTCAGGTTGTGGGAGCCGCACGTGGTCCTGGTGGGGGCTGTCGTGGCACAAAGATTGGCGCGTCAACTGCGCCCCTCCCTGGTCTGCTTGTAGTTCCAGCCGGTGGGTTAGCGGTGTCCGGTGCCGTCAGTGGCAGCTGCATGTCTTCCAGTGTCCTTGTGGCCTCTTGTATGTTCCGCACCACTAGTGGGCCGCTTGCACCCTCAATGTGTAGTGCGCGCCCTGGACCCCAGCGGTATCTGAGTTGTTTCTGTCTCAGGAAGGACGTAAGCTGTCTGAGGGATCTTCTCCAGTTCAGCGTTCCGCTTGAAAGGTCTGCATAAAATGATAGAGTCATGTCCTCAAAAGTGTAGGTGGTTAGGCCCTTGGTGGCTGCTAGAACAGCCCTCTTGTCCCTTGCGCTTTGAAAACGTAGGATTATGTCCCCTGTAGCAGCTGGTGGTGCTGTAGGTGGCCGTGGTATGCGGAAGATGTCATCCAATATTATGGATTTGGCCACTTTCGGGGTTAAAAGCGCAGTCAGTAGCCGCCTAGCATAATGTGGGAGCTCGGCCTCGGGTACAGAGTCTGCGACCCCTCGCAGTTTGAGATTGTTTTGCCGTCGCTTGTCCTCTTGTGTGGCCAGTTGCTGGTCATGTAGTGCAGCCAGTTGTTTGAGGTTGTGTACTGTTGCTTTCAGCTCCTCTATCTGACTGGTGTGGCCGCTTGAGGTGCATTCCACGGTCCCAAGCCGCGCTGAGAGGCCTTTCAGATCCTCCCTGATCGTGGCCACTTCTGCAGAGATTTTGCCGTGATGAGCGGCCATGAGTTCCCTGATGGCCTCCATGGTCACCGGCGTGGGAGCTAATGTAGGCACTCGAGGTCTGTCTGGCAGTAGTGGAGCGTTACTCGGCATGCAGCTCCCTGCTTCTTCATCAGACGTGCCATCCGAGAAATCGGAGCAGCCTCCGTGCAGGGACGCCATTGTTGCGCCGGCTGTCTCGTGGGCCTGCTTCCACATGTCCCCTATATTCATGCCCAGGCGGGGCTTGTCGGGCTTTTGCTTTTTTGTTCTTCTGCCCATTTGGATCTGGTAAGCTGTGGGGCACTCCGGGGAGTGTTTGGGTCGTGGTCGGGTTCTGGTTGCGGCGATTTGGCTCGATTAGAGTCGGGAGCTCAGCCGCCATGCGACCTTCCTCGTCCGTTGCTAGCATTTTTATTTTATTTTACTTTCATTTTATTTAATTTTATTTAATTCACATTTTATTTATTTATTTATTTTCATTTTTATTTTCATTTTTATTCATTTTTATTTTCACTTCATTTCATTTTATTTTATATCACTATTGTATTATTATTATTTTTTTTTTTTTTTTTTTTGTTGTGCAAAAAGATTAACAATCATGCTTGCTATGCCACAACGGCAGACATAAACATTTCAATAAACAGATTAGTATGGCATGTAATTGATAACTGCACTTTTTTTTTTCTCACAAGTTAAGTTACGTATTCAAGCTTACTATTACATGTCAAATGGAAGTAAACGCTGTAGCTACTGTCGCATAGTTGCCACCTGACATGTGAAAAGACTTTCACATTTTATGGTATGTAAAGTAATAGAAAAAACATGACTAATGACAGACTTGGATATTGCAGGCTTCATATGAATTTTTTACCTAAAAACGCATGAGGAGAAACACATGAGAAGATCCACCAGGTTGTTATGGGAAAGGTGTTAAAATTAGTGTGGTGGCCACTGGGACTCTTTAATATAATGTCGTTACAACTAAATGCCTGTGGCAAATTGAGAAGCATGTGACAGGAATCACAGACAAAAAAAAACCCAGAATAAACAGAATAACATTCTTGGCTAGTGTGGGGCACTTGCAGATTATTTGCTTATGGTAAGGCAGTTCATCTACTTAGCCGATGACACAAGCAGGCTTCTTCTGGGAGCCAATTCTGCACTTCTCCATGGTTTGCTTGGTGTTTCTGGTCCAGCATCCCCTCTGTGTCAAGAGGACCTCGGGTGCATGAAGAACTGTATTTTTGTATGGATCAATCGAGCGGCGTTCCA